TATATATCCATATATATGGATAGACTCCAGTTTCAGAATCCCAGAGTAGATGTGTATGGGCAGAAAACCAATGAGGGTTAATGGGAAAAGATACATTAATGGTTCGGATGTTTTTGCTTTATTGTTTTGTTTTTGTTTTTGTTTTTGTTTTTGTTTTTCCCCACCAGAGAAGTATATCAGAGAACTCCCTCGTAGCAATGGACTTTTCGGGTCAGAAAAGCAGAGTCATAGAAAACCCCACCGAAGTTCTCTCAGTAGCTGTTGAAGAAGGACTCGCCTGGAGGGTACTAGTAGTTTCACTTTTCTCAAAATGCTTATACTTTGAGTCATTTTACCCAAGACCTTGAGTTTTGTTTTCCCCTTCCTTGCTCAGAAAAAAGGATGTTTACGCCTGGGCAGTCACGGTAGCCCGACTGCCTCCTCCCATAACTCTGCTGTGAACATGGGTATGTTTGGTGTGTGTTCGGTCTTTGTCCCCAAGCTGATGGAAAGGCAGATAGATGTTTCTTCAGATAGAGTCACAAAGGGGACAGGGTGGAAAGCGCATGCAATGTTGTGATCATGTCACACAAACCGTGTATTCCTTCAGCCATCCACCGGTCCCAGCCTTGGTTCCACCACAAAATCTCTAGAGATGAAGCTCAGCGATTGATTATTCAGCAAGGACCTGTGGATGGGTAAGTGTGATATTTATAGTTTTGAGTGGTAATGATATGGATTTTTTCCCATAAATGATAATTATTTAGCATACATTAGTAATTTTTAATTTTGGCTTATCACAGAGTAGGAGGCCCTTGTTTTATGAGGATAGTTGACAATGTATTCTAACAATAGCTTTAGAATACCTGTTACGTAGGTGTTTGATATCTGTGGAAAGATGAACAAATAACAGGATACTTTAGCCTTGACTGATAAGCACTAATATTATCCACTTTGTGCCAGTTCAATCAGCTCATCTATTAATGTAGGAGGAAAAATTTGAAGGTGTTTGAAGTGTCAACATTTTGATTTGCACATATAATCTATATGATGCTCAAATATATTTTATTACATGATATTATCCTACACATTTTTTTAGATATGTTGCAAAATATATTGTGATAAGGTTTTTCTTAGATACTTGGAATACATGATTTTTTTTTCTGTTTAAATCCCTATTGCTATTTCTCTAAAGTAATAAAAGCCCTCTTGATGCTACCTCCTAGTATTTTTAATGGGGTATCAAGGCATATAGAAAAATATAAAATGAATTATGGGAAATTTATAATCTGAAGGCTTTTCTGTTCAAATTACAAAATTTCATTTACTGACTATAATTCCTGTCAGATGCCATTCCCAAAATGCCGAACAAATGAGGAAGGTTTTAGAGTTGCTTGGAGAGAAATGAAGGCAATGTCCATTTAAACAAGTGGCAATGGGATCGTCGATCTGCAGAGGCTGACTTACAGTGGTGACAAGGTTTTGAGTTGATTTAGTACTGACATTTGGGTAAAAATGCATTGTCACATGGAAGATTATTACTAGCGAGTCAGCATTTCACCAGACTCTGAATAAGAAACGGTGTTAATATTCTCTGCGGGAAGCAGTCTTTGGGGATATAAATTTGAACAAGCTGTAGAAGAACAGAGATGAGAGCAAAAAAAGAATAAATCACAAGGGACTTACTAAAGTGTTTTGTCAGATCACAATTCTCTTCATTTCAGAGTTCAGTATTTGTAAATTAAATCAAATAATTGAAAAAAGAGTAACCATATGTGTGTTTCTTTTTCTTTCTTTCTTTTTCTTTGGTATTTCTTTGGCAGGATGTGATGGTGCCAAGTGGTCCACTAGGTGGTAGTGCTGATCTGCTTGGAAAGGGAAGAGAATTACAGCTTACTTTACCGCTGAAATGCCCTTTTGTCCCATTTTGTAGTGATGTAATGTCAGAATCTCACTCAGTACACATGAAATGGATGCTGTCCTCAGATGCCTCTGTAGCCTCACATTGGCTGCCTCTTTGCCCAGGCACAGTAAGAATACTATTGGAGTCAGCACGAGGACATTTACACAGTGTACTCGCCAGCAATTAATATAAAACTGGCCATGCACTGCGTTGCCAGTAAATAAGAATCCCTGCCTGGTAGTCTTTTTTTTTTTTTTCCCCCCCTTAGGTCATTAGGCCACATCTCCCTTTTCTAGCCTGACATTATAGAGGCATTTCTGCTGAATCCTTCAAGGTGCATTATTTGAATGTTTTATCCTTAAGACATTTTTACATGAACATTTCATAAATAATTTTAAGAATAATTTCTTAGAATATATAATTTCTTACTACCTCTTGTGTGTATAGCATTATTTGAGTGTTTTATCCTTAAGACATTTTTACATGAACATTTCATAAGTAATTTTAAGAATAATTTCTTAGAATATATAATTTCTTACTACCTCTTGTGTATATAGCAATGGAAGTCAGAATCAAAGGAAGAGGAAAGAGGATCCTCTGTAAAAGAGGGGTTACAAAAACAATTTCATTTTAAATTATCTATTTTCAGGAACCTGCCATGACCCATCAGTTAAAAGAGTACTATACTAATGCTTTTATTTTTTTGTGATGGAAAGTTATGTGTCAATACCTGGCTTCTTGGTGGAAAGGGACATGGCAGTAATAATTGGTGCCATCTGAACACTGTATTGGCAATGTGAGCAAATAATCTGACAAATGGGCCATGTATTTACCCTATTGCCTTCCATTACTATAATGGGGGTTTTATTGTATGGAAGTTTTTACATATTGTTTACCAAGGTGAACAGTCTTACCCATTTAATACACAGTAAAGGAGTCCTTGGTCATAGCATTTATGGATGCACTTTCTGGATTTGTATACACTATGTTTCTATGAAACAAAGCATATTGAAATCCCTTCTTTCTCCTTAGAGTTTTCTTGGTACGGGATAGTCAGAGTAACCCCAAAACTTTCGTGCTGTCAATGAGTCACAGGCAAAAAATAAAGCACTTTCAAATTATACCAGTAAGTAATTGTGACTTTACATTCGTGTATTAGAGACGATCTTAATGCATAAGCTTTGGGGAACTTTGGTTTTCTTTTGTTCCTTTTATTAAATATAATTTGGGAGCTTTTGCTTTGACTAGAGTTAAGTTTGGCAGAAATGCTTTTATGAGCCTGGATTAATATAAGAAATACAGGAATTGTAAAAATTAAATTTCCCTTTTTCTACAAAATATGATTTAACAAAAATTGTATAGACCTCCTGCCACCTATTGTTAAAGGCCACTAAAGAATCTTTTTTCCTGAATGCCACTATTGGTTCTTTAAAAAACAATACTTTAAAGCCCTTTCCTCCCTTTTCTTCTCTCAAAAATATATTTTTGATGTTGCTTCTTGTTGGTTTATTTTTAACACAGATGAAAAAGCATAGGTGCTGTGGAACGGATGGACAGTTGCATTATTGAGAACATTTAAACATTTTCTTTGGCATAACTTGCTTTGCTATTTCTGTCTCGGCTATGTGTCTGTGTCTGCATGTATGTGTGCACATATGTGATAGGTACATTGGAGCCAGGCACTGTAGAAGAGATGCAGTCTACTTTTAGGGAGGTGTTTTGTAATACAGCTAAATTGCTATTGCTTCCTTTTGAATTGCCTTTCTGGAATTATCCAAAGGCCATCTGAAGTATCCTTCCTACTTATTTGCTTATTTTTAATTATGTGGTTAGTGACCCCAGCAAACAGATGATTCATGCCCAAAAGCTTCATAAAAAAAGCAAAAAACAATGCTAGGTACAAGCATTGAAATATATTTACTTTTACACTAAATAGTATATATTTCTCATTATTTCTTGATGCAAAATAGTTGTGGTCCCCTAATTACACAGAGACAGCAGAATTACAAGGGAAAGAAGTAGGTTGCTTAATCAAAGAATAGATGATACTTCTTTTAAATGCAAACCAAGTGGACAAGATACAACATTGTTGTCATTGTCCTTAGTTTTCTAAACTTGTCTATTTAGAGTATGAAATCATAGTCTGCAGAGGAATATTCTTGCCCTCCTGACTTTTTCCCCCCTTTCACTGGTTTATTGCTTCTCCTCCTACAGGTAGAAGATGATGGTGAAATGTTTCACACACTGGATGATGGGCACACAAGATTCACAGATCTCATCCAGCTGGTGGAGTTCTACCAACTCAACAAGGGTGTCCTTCCTTGCAAGTTGAAGCATTATTGTACTAGGATGGCACTTTAGCCAAACTATATGTGACTTGTTAAACTAGTGAAGAAGAAGGACTCATAGAAAACATTTAAAGAGGGAGAAACCACAAATGAGGGTGAAAAGAATGCTGTGGTAAAAAGAATATATTTCACTTGCAAGTTACAAAAGAAATAGTTCATGGATTGCAGATTAGCAAAGATTGGATTACATTCATCACTTAAAACTTATTAGTTAAAATTAAACCTTAGGAAAAAAATGACTTGGTGTGTTCTTGTGTGATTTTACATTACAGTAGTATTTTCTTTAAAGATGCAACTTTAAACATTGATTTGTCTGTATTTACTATATCCGCATTAGAATTCTCAACATGAATATGAAAGAGATATTGTAGTTTATGTACAGGGATTGGGGGTGCATACTTATAATCTTAGCACTGATGAGGCAGAGACAGAAGAGTCATCAGTACAAGACCAGACTGAGCTACATAGTGAGACCCTGTCTTGAAAACCAAGGGCTTGCATGCAGCTCAGTACTGATCTTGCAAATGCACTTGAGATCGTGGGTTTGATCCTCAGCATTGCCAAAAGTGAAAATTAACAACAGAAGTTCAGAGTGATCCTTACACACTGAATTTCAGCTATGCTACTCTTTGAAATTATTAAGTATGATAAAAGCTTGAGCTATCAATGAAATGAAGCTACCTAAACTTGTTGATAAAATTAAAACTATAGATTTTTATTTTTTAAATTAAAACTATATATTTAAAACTATCTATTTTCTAAATGTAATGTACCTTAAGATAAAATCATATTTTAAGTGATAGGTAAAGTATTTTTAAGTAAATTGATTTTGTGATAATTTATCATGCTATTAAATGACTAGTTACACTACACCATCTCTTCTGATAGTGTACCTGTTAGTAGCATAACGCTGAAATAGTTTCAATCATTTATTGATTGATTGGAGAAATTTATCTTTAAGGAAATGAGCAAAATATAGAAAAGGTTTGTATAATGTACACATGCTTCATGACATAGACTCCGTGGCACTGTGACTGATCCCCTCAGTATTTCACATTTACCTCATATTTTGACATACAGAATACTCTAGATAAGTTCACTAGCAGATCATTAACCCAATCAAAACAGGTGAAATCAAATACTTCAAATCTGTTAAGATACTGATAAAGAAATCCTTGTGCTTCTCTTTGTGTATCTCACATTTAGTTTTTCACTATGGAAGTCAACAAGCCTGAAAACTTGAGACACCAAGACACTCTCCTCCCTCATCCCCTTGGAGACCATCTGAAAACACTTCTTTTTCCCTTTTCTTATTCTGTAACTCTTGCTCCTCTTTTTGTGGGAATAATAATAGTTGCTTAAAAATGAAGATAAAACATCAACAAACATTAATATCATATCTTTTCTAACTGACATTTATAACAACATCATAGGAAAATTAATGATCTCTTTGATTTGATATTTTCTTTGAAAATATTTCACAAGTGCATACTCTAATTGTAGAAAGCATAGTAATATGTTTTACTAACAAATGGAAAATATTCACAAAGTGCTAATAAAATCAGGCATATTGAGAAATAATTATTTGCTGAATTTTAAAATTTTCAATTTACATTTGCATTGGAAACAACTCCTAAAATACTGAAACTTAAAGCATTCATCTGATGTTATAAAATCCTGGTCTGGTCTCCATGAAGGCTTATGAGATACAGGCTTTCTCAGTACAGGAGTCTCACCCCATTTTTCAGAATAAGCCTGAGTAGATCTGATTCATTTCTAACTTATAAAAGCACTTTGTGTTTTGAATTAGAATGCATTTTATCATTTTGTACACAGTTCAAACAGATAATATCATGAAGTATAATATTTTCAATACTAAACTCCAATCAATTGACCAGTTCATGCTTATCTTTGTCATTTATGTCTCTGACTTCAAAGGCATTATTGGGGTTGGAAAATATTGTACGTAATTGCTTAGGTTTCTCACAGAGTATAAGTCAAAGAAAATTATTGAGGAGAGGTTGGAAAAGGGGAATCATTGATTTTGATTCCTTCTGAAAGTGTATGTGTCTGTGAATTTAATGTGTTAAATCTTAAGATGTCAGACACATCCAGTTAGTAAAGCTTTTCACTGTATTCCGTAGTAAATATGAATCATCTCTGGATTGTTTTCCATTTTGATTCAGCTCTGTTGAGTTAGTTTATGTACTTTTGAGTAAAGATGACAAATTCATTGTTTTCTTCTATTCTGTTCACATGTTGGAGTTAATACACTACACTCTCTCAGAGAGAAGGGAATGCAGTAGACCCTCTGATCTTTGATCTTTGCCTTCCCTTGTATTAAAGAATTAGGGCATTATTCTGAAATGTCTAGAAGATCCATTCAAACAAGATAACAATTATTGGGAGCAATTTCATTAGCAGTATTAAATTGCCTGTTTGTGTTAGAGTATAGGCCCCAACTACTTTAAGTAGACTGGATTAGGCTTTTTTCCCACTCTGTTTTAGGGTGTTTGACTTTAGTTAATCAAGGATCGATATGGCCTCTGAGTTTTGAGTACCAACAAAAATAACTGTAGATATGGTCATTACAATTTTAGTCTTCAAAACATCATGTCCCCAAGGAAGAAACAATATCATTAGTAATGTTATGGATTGGCTTTTCAAGCTGGCCTCACTGCTGGAAAACTGTTCTTTCTTGCTAGACATCTGTAAGACTGTGGTGTCTTGGGTTCACTAAGCAGCCGGGTGAAGCCTATGACCTCCTTTCACAGAATATCTTGAAATGTGTAAAAAAATGTGCTTTGAGAGCAAACTAGTTATATAGAGACATTATTCTGTATATTTCTGGATCTAGGTGACCCTGCTGCAAACCCTGTTGTAGTTTCTTGCCATGTCTAACACTGGCTGTAAATCCTCTACTATTCTGTCTTATGTTCTCTAGGGAGCCAAGTGGATGACTCTCATTTCTACTTATAGAATCACTAGGGTAAAGAATATTTTTCTTGAAATGCAGGGTTCCTGTAACATTTGCTGAACCTTTTGCAAACCTCCATGGCTGCTGCTTATGGGATGCATCACCTTGTGGCCATCTTGTGACATTTAGGAATGTTCATAACTGAGGTACTGCCAGGAATGTCTCTAACCTAATGTTCCTCAAGTTACAAGTTAGAGATTTGCATAAAAGAAAGGTCAAACTCTTAACTGAGTATGTAGCAATTATGACTGTAAAGAACATTGCAGAAATTCCTCAAGTGTGTTTTTCCCTAGCATAAATGTGCATTTGTGCAATTGTAATACCATGTGATTTCTTTGCCATGCCAATTTCCTGAGTAAATTTAAATAATTCAGAACTTTCTAATTCAACCCTATATCATATACAAGGCTTTAGAAACCAGAATTAAGATGATTGGGTTTCGTGCTTTGTAAGTTTGAATTCACAGTGATTTCTAGGAGATATAAAGCCTTGGTCAAATCAGTTTTTCATCTTTGTAGATGGGACCACCACCACCACCACCACCACCACCACCACCACCACCACCATCACCACCTCTTCTTAAGTTGTCTTGATAGTTAATTTCTATCATTCATATAAAGCAGTTAACAAACTGTCTAGATTCTCAATACATATTTATATCACATTAATGATTGCACATTGTGCTTGATAGCTTTAGTGTCAACTTGACACACCTGGGTTGAGGGAACCTCAACTAGGGAATTTCCTTTATTGGACTGGCCTGTGGCCATGTCTGTGGGGCACCTTCTTGATTGTTGTGTGATGTGGGAGGGCCCAGCCTACTGTGGGTGGTGCCACCCCTGGGCAGGTGGGCCTGTGTTGCATAAGAAAGCAGACTGAGCAGGGGCCAGGGGGAACAAGCCAGCAAGCAGTGTTCTTCCATGGCCTGTGCTCCAGCTCCTGCCTCAAGGTTCCTTCCCTGAGTTCCTACCTTGGGCTCCCTGATGAGCTGTGACCTTGGAGATGTAAGCCAAATAAACCTTTTCCTCCCTAAGTTGGTATTGGTAGGAGTATTTTGTCACAGCAATGGAGAAACAAACTAAGACAGAAATTGGTACCAGGAGAGGGGTATTGCTGTGACAGACCTGACCCAGTTGTTTTGGGAAGGATTGTGCAAGTGTTCGGAACTTTGGGCTGGAAAAGCCATTGAGTGCTCAGAGTTTATTTCTGTGGAGCTTGGAACAGTTATGCTGAAAGAGTTTTAGACAGTGGAGGACTGGCTTGTGAAGCTTCAAAGGGAAGTGGAGACTATCAGGGCTGTTCATGTGATATTTTGAATTGAGAATCTGTGGGTTCTGGTTGGCTGGGGCTGAAAAATAAGCTGTAATTAAGAAGAGACTAGAACCTCAAGTAAAACCTTTGCTCTATTGGGACAATTGATGCTCATTAGCTGGGGCTGAAAAATCAGATGTAAGTAACAAGAGACCATCATCAGTGTGGTGAAGTCTTCTGGGAGGTATTTCCTCAAGGTCAGCATACAGAAGGGACCCGAGCCTCTATCTCAAGCTTGAGGCAGGACTTGGTAATGTGTAAGAGTCTCCTGCATAGTTCTGGTATTGAAAGAGTGAAGGGGGTCACAGAGAGCAGCTGAGGCTTGGCACTCTGAGAGACCAGGTCAGGCCATAGGTGAAATTGCCACTTCAGTTGCAGTGAAGACCCCAAGATTGAAGGGGTCATGGAGATAATCTGAGACTTTGCACCCTGAGAGGCAAGAAGAGGCCATTGGAGAAGGTGTAGTCTTAGTTTCAGTGGGGATCCCAGCTTTTTGGAGATGCTGGGACCATGGGACGACCACCAAGGACAGCAGGAGGTGTGGAATGGAGCTGGCCTGGGTCTGCGAGATGAGCTGTGTGTGCTGTGGATAGCAGAGTCAGAGAAATGGAGCTGCCAGAACCCTTCGGAGCCTAGAAGATAGTGAGTGAATCCCAGATGTCCAGCCTTGAGCTAATTTGCTGAACTTTGGTTTTGCTTAGGTGTGCCTGATTCTTCCCTTTGAAATAAGACAGTACCTGTTTTGGATTTTACAGAAACCCACAGATAAGAGACTTTAAAAAGAGACTGTGGACTTTTTTTTTTTCTTTTTGAGACAGGGTCTCCCTGTAGCCCCAGCTGTCCTGGAACTCACTGTATAGACCAGGCTGGCCTTGAGACTGTGGACTTTTAAGTGTTTGTTTTTTTAAGGACTATGGGGATTTTAAGGACTATGGGGATTTCAAGGTTGTA